ATCCAGCTTTTATTAATGAAGGTGGTAGTTGAGTAAGAAGATATGAATAATTTTCATGAAAAGCCATAAAATATTTTTATGAAACATTATAATTTTTCAAAAAAAATATTAATAAGTATTTATTATAAAGTTTTATAAAATTTTATAAAATTTATTGTTATTTCTATAATTCAATAATTGATTCTAGATTCGGTTCTTCCAATTAGATGTTGCTTCCCCATCTACTTGCACCAATTGTTATAGTAAGAGTGAATGCAACTCAGAGAAAAATAAAAAATTAGATTAAATCATATTTATGTGGTCCAATCAAATCACCTAATTGATTATTTTTTCGAACTGAACAAACCACCCAAGCCAAAGTACTAAACCATCAGAAATGATAATTATGCTACATGGTTAACATATAATTGTTAGCCTCATTTGTTTTTAAGGGGCAGATTATTTAATAATCTATAAATATTTATATACCCCAGTCGTATATCAGAAATTTTTTTTCTAGTTTTACATGATGAATAAAGCGCGTGTTAGATATTCAATCAACACGCATCATGATTTTTGAGACTGAAATTTTGATATATTTGGCACTTTATCTACAAATTTAGAATAAGCATCATAATGTGAATATTCGAGGGTGCAGGTTTGTTTTCAAAAATACTTGTAAATACATCTGTGCGCTTTTTTAATGCAACCATGTTCTATCAACTGTAATAACAGAATTTTAAATTTCCGAATATTATTTATTAAATTGTGACTTTCCGTGATTGTTCCCTGATCATACATAAGGATTTAATAAATTTTTTCTGTGATCATTCCATGATGGTTCGCCTAATTATAGGGATTAAAACGGCCCATATTATTGCTTTGCAATGACCCTTCAAGTCTAAATTTTATGCGGTGTTACCTTCATGCAGAATTAATTCTCATGGTCGATTTTTTATTAACGATATTATGAATAATATGAATAATGTCTAGACCCTTTTCTTTACTCTATACGAACCCGCGATAAGAATGGGACTTTGCGAAGCAGGACACTTCCTGTCTAAAAAGACAATGAGTATAATGTTCTTTATCAGTAGTTTTGTTAAAATTCATATGTTATAGGGATTTTGAATTCTCAGATCTTGGAAGATCTAACCCTACTTCTTATTTACAGGAGCGATCGTCGAATCTAAGGGTTGAAGTTGGGTTAAACTCTGGTTAAAGTCGGGTTGAAGTCGGGTTGAAGTCTGCACTTCAGAAAATAAACTCTCATCATCTGCATTTTTTTCTCATATTTATTAGATAAAGAAAAGCTATTAGGGCAAGTAAGCTAGATAGGTTATTATCTGCAGATTGATAGATAAAGGGTCTCCAAAATGAAAAATGCAATGTCTGGTTGAACTCTAGTTGAACTATGGTTGATGTATAGATAATCTCAAGGGTATCATATGATTTGACAGTTCTATGGGTCCGCACGTATAATTTATGCATAAATTCTGTATCCCTGACGGCCTCTGGAAGCCGTCGGAATATAAACTGAGTTTAGGGTATTCTTCTTCGTAATCATTATATAAAATAATGGAAGAATACTCTAATACTGGTATGTACTCAGGTATGATGATATTTTTATATTTTTATGATAATAATGAGCAATAAAAACATGACCGGCTTTAATAATCAATAGCCTGCATTATTGCTTTGCAATGACCCTTCGAGTCTAAATTTTATGCGGTGTCACTCTCCTGCAGAATCATTTCTTACGATCGATTTTTGTTAATAGCTACTAAACGAATAATGACTAAAAGCTTTATTATACACGATCTTATGATAAGAAAAAAGATAAATAGGTCTTAAAAGGGCTATAAGAGGGAAGAGTACAACGTTCCTTATCAGTAGTTTTACCCAAATTCATATGTCATACAGGGCTTGGAATCCCCAGATCTTGAAGATCATTAACTTTTTCACTTCACAAAGCGATCATCAAATCTAAGGGGATTTAATTTACCTATAAAACAACAAAATAGATTCAGTATTTGGAGCTTATAACCGAACGGAGTTGTTTTGTTAAGTATAGTCCGGCATTGTGTTAGGGTAACGTAATTTCTAATCGCGTATTTTTTCAGATCTAGTGAACTGAATGGTATAAAAATAAGCGAGTTCCTACCTTAAGATAAGTCTCATAAAATGAGAATACTCCGCATCTAGCAATAACGTTATTTTTGCTCATATATATTTTTACTTGATTTATCTGCCCGTAATTTATTTTTAAAGTAATTTTGCTATTTCATTTAACGGAATCTATAAAGACGAATTTTTACTTACCATGATTTTTCTCATATTCAGGTACAAAAAATGAGTAATAGTACTTCTATGCTGATCTCTGATTCATAGATTTAAAACACATGACATTGCTCCACTGAGGCTCATTATAACGTCATATGATTTCGAAATTATGATGTAGTTATGCTCCAATAATTTATTATACATATGGATTAGATCTGTTAGCATCCTTACTCTGCGAGTTAAGCTCAATAATTAACTTTGCCTTTTACTTTACGCTTTCTAATAGGGCATTTTTTTACTGCTCTAGTCTTATGCGCATGTGTATCTTCTATTTCCAAACTAGATGTAGAAGAATTACTTGAATCGCTAACAGAAGATTCTGACTCAGATACTGAAAATGGTTCTGGCAACCTTAGCTTTTTCAATTTTTTTTTTTTCTTTCTATGTGAACCAGTATAACAGTGTTGATATTTGTGGGAATCGGAAATAATATGGTGTGAAGTACCCTTTTCTACAGCATGAATTATAAATCTAATTATGTCCTCAATATCTTTCGGAGATGGATTGGAATTAGATGAATTATTTTTTATGGAGCTGTCTTTATTACTATTTTTTTTGATTAATAGGATACTCATACCATCTATTACAATTCTAGCATAGCTGTTATAGGTTTTGGAAGAATGTCTAAAGCTAATTTTTGTTTTACGCATCTATAACCATTCTTGTCCCAAAACCAAATCGAATGATGGATTTTTGCGAATTTGAAAGTCTATTACTTCAGTATCATCTAAACTTCGCCACTTTCCTTTATAGCAAAATTGCAAATCTAAATATTTTATTTTACCTATTATATCTTCATAGAGATTCTCAACAGGATCACATATTCTATAATCTTCTTTAAGCTTATCGAACAAGCTCTCACTAATAGTATTAAACTTTGACGATGTATTAATTAATGCTTTTACTGTGATTTTTTCTTCTACAAGTGTATTGATAAACATGTTAAATATGTTTAATGATGTATATTATAACTGAAAAATAATTATAATTTATTCTGAATTTTATCATGTATTAATATAATAAATAATAGCGAAGCTAGTACCAAGGTACATATTACTACACGATATTGACAATGAATAAAGCTATATTAGAAAATAATCATAAATCTCGAAATGGTAATAGTGTGATATCTCGCATTATTAAACAAGTGTCAAATAAAAAAATTCAGATCTCTCTCCATCAATTACTAAAAATAGTGAAATACGAGATTTAGCAGGATATTATAAACTCAATAGCAAACCCAGATATTTCTCGAAGAAATCGTACACCATCTGAGGTTAAAAGAAAATGCAATGCTAGAAAAAAACTAATTTTTAATGATACCGCATCTGAGTCTTCATCCTCATCTTTATCTGGGTCTAGTTATGAATGGTCTAATGATGAAGATTTTGCTATAAATATGGTGAAAGCAAAGAAGTGTGATTAGTTCTCATTGTCAAAAATTTCTCTGTATAAATTGATATTATCCTCGACCTCACTATTTTCTTGTTTAGATGCTGGAGTATTTGGTCTGTCATTCATTACACCATAATGTTCAACTGATGAAGCATGACCTATTTTATGTCTACATGCCAATTGCCATAAATATTGATAGCAGGAATTATTCCTACCTCCATGTACTCTGAAAACATGATCAGCATCTATTTTTCTTAACATATATGAGGTAATTCTATGGCGACTTAAGAATTGATTAAGAGGTGCAACATTAGTATTTCCATCCTTATCTTTTAACAAGAAGGAAAATTTATCCGGTATTGATCTCTGAATCCCCTTTGTATCTAAGGAATATTTCAAGTTAGTATATATTTTTTTTTCTTACTAATCTAGTTTATACCGGTAAGCTAGATATATGAGATACATATTCATTTTGATACCTCTTTGAGAGCTTAACTTTTAAAGCTCGTTCTTTAGCCAACTCTGGAGATATTCCATTTGATATAAAATTTTTATATGCTTGTATACACCAATGATCATATAGAAAACTAGTTATTTTATCAGATAATATCCAACGCTTAGTATCTATAGGGCAAAGAGCCTTCTTTTCTGATTCGACCAAAGATAAAATATAGTCTTTTGATCAAATATCTACATTTTTAGCATGGAATACTTCATTACCAAAAAGACAGTCTCAATATACTAGAGTCATAGAATCTGCCTCAGTTCACATAGCTTCTTGCTCTGATAATAATGATCTATCTATCGGATCATCTAGCAAAGACCCTTCTAAAGCTAGTATATATGAATTTGTGGCCATTTTATTTATGCCTTTTTTGCTAACCTCCTTATGCTTAGACTTTGTAGACTTATCTGCTAAGACATAGTGATATGACTTGGCCCGGATATGATAAGATTCTGTAATCACATTGTCTGGAGTCTCATCTTTAAAAAGCCCTATAGTTTTTGAGTCATTAAGATCAAAAAAGTCAGGTCGCTCAGCCATATCCTTATAGATATCCTCAGTTTCAACTATAAATATGAATGAGTCTGTGTCCATATATCCAAGCTAGGCTTTATTACCATATCTTTCTTTTATATATCCATACCAAAAGCGATACATTAAAAGTTTGCTAAGGCCAAAAACTGATGCTCCGACAATAATAGGCTTGTTGAGAGTTACACTAGCTTTTCCTATATGTGCCCAACAAGTGTATTTCCAAGCTGTCTAGTATATTTAAAAAAGGGTTTACAGATCTGATTAATAAATTTCTTTTCGTCTTGCTTATTATTCATAGCCATGAGCTTGACATCTTGGTATTTGCGAATATTTTCTATAGTTTTGCCATATATCGAGTTATTTATGAGCTTAAAGAAATCTTTCTCAAAGCATTTTTAGCATCTTGTCGCTTTTCTGTATTAAAAGCTATAGGGTATGAGCCAGTTAGTTTGATCAAAAGATAAGATTTCTATTACCTCATATTGCAGCTCTAAGTAATGAATAACATATTCTTTTCGTGGACCAAGATGAGGTACTAATTTTTCTGTAGCTGAGAAACGTCCACTATCTAAGTTATCTACAAGCTCTGTAGTATAAGAACACAATATATCTTTACTTATAGCTATATTTTCTACAGCTGGGGGTAAATCACTCAAATAGTCATGAGTTTTTAGAAGAAAACATGTATTAATCTTTAGATAATATCCTCTTTTAGCATCTGCTTTAGTATTAAGAATTTTTTCAAGATATTTTTTTGCTCATTTAGATTATCCTCAAGATATTTATGACTTACCTCCCATTTATAATTTCCAATAGGCAAATACTGACTCATAGCCCAGCTGTAAAGATTATTTGCATCAACATAGATTATCCACGTTGTGGGTTTAGATAGATCAAATGTCTTGCCTATTTTTGGATTATTGGCCTTGAAATAGCACTTACAGGCAATAGCTATACCTCCACGCTTAGCCTTTTTATAAAATCATACATAGACATATCTGTAAAGAGCTCAATTTTAACACCTGTCATCTTAAGCATAGCATCCCAAGCTAATACAGGTGCTGAAACAT